GATGATCTTTGGAGTCTTTTCTGACTTTTGTAAGTCTGTTATTCTATGAATCATTGGAACAACCACCCCACAGACTTGATCAGATCCCTATCACTAGAGGATTTGAAGGTACAGTTGAACAGGGTGCTAGGTAATCTCATCCAGACTCCTTTTTCCCACGAAGTCTGAACTGATGATCTTTCGAGGTCCCTTCCTACGTGGGTTGTGCTGTGATTCTCACTCCTGTGCCTGCAGTCTCAGTGGGGTCCAGTGCCAGGACAAGAGGCCGTGGGCACAGAGGCTCCCTCTGAACACCAGGCAGCACTGCTGTGCTGTGCGGTGCCGGAGCACTGGCACTGGTTACCCACGAGGCTGTGGGGTCTCCTCCTTGGGGACCTTCAGAAGAACTAAAGAGCGGACACCCCCGTGCTAAAACCTCTCGGTGCTCCCTCGAGAGATCGCACAGCAGGAACCCAGCCCCTCCTCGCCCTCCCGCCCCCGGCCCCGCCCGCTGCCTTCCCCTCGGAGCTGCCGAGCCATGGGCTGCTCCAGCAGCGCCCGCAGCCGCCCCCAGGAGCCCCCCAGCAGCAGCGGGGCGCCGACGAGGGGTGAGCGGGGCTGGGGGGTGGGTGAGCGGGCGGCCGTGCCGGGTGCTCTCCCCGTATCCCATAGGCGCTGGGGAAAAGCCGAGGGGCTCTCGGCTCCTTGGAGTGCACGTTTCTGGGAGCCAGCAGCCTCTCAGGTTTTCTGTAACGCCTTGCAAAGATTCCACAGTATCTTGCAAATGCAGTGTTTCGCCTTTTATTTTTTCCCTAACAAAGTTTGGGAACCGTTATTACAGGAACTTGCAGGTAACAATCCTGAGCTCTCCAAAACCTGCATCCCGAAGCAATGCTATGGGAAAAGCAGCTCGCTTTTCAACTTACTGCATTTCTTTCCTCTATCCTTCAGTTCTAAATACCTCCCCACTGCCATATTCCGGCTGCAGCACCCAAGTTTTTCACCTGCAATTTATTCTTCATTTCTTGTCCTGGAGTACTGCGGTTTGTTGGGATTGCTGAGGTGCTATGGGTTGTGTGAGGGGAGGCTGAATGCGCTGCTATGAAGCCAGTGCATGGAGCAGCCCCACTGCAGACATGGGCAGAATGCTCCTCGTGTCTTACCTGTGTTGTGCTCACCTGCCAGTTGGGCTCTTACCAGCCGGATGTGTTGTTTTCTAACTGAGTTGAATAGGAGAGGAGGAGTTGAAATAGATGCCCCTAAGTATGCTATTAACAGAAAAAAATACTTATCTTTCATTTCCTTCGACGGGTGTGTAGCTCACAAAATCTTGAGGCTCTTTTGAAAAGCAAAAAGAAAAGTCACAGCTTTGTAACCATGGTCTGCTTGAATTCAATGCGCGATTTGCTGAAATTGTCTGCAGCAGGGAAAAGGAAAATTATAAATGATGGACAAATTAGAAATTATAGATGATAAACTAAAGAAAACAATAAGGCATTGTAGGAATGCTGGCTGCCACGTGATTTTCATTCTTGAGGATGAAGGTATTGAATAGATAACAAGGAGGGTTTGTTTTTTCCATGCTAGAGAATTCTTTGCATCTCAGTTGAGAGCAGAGAAATGGTTCAAGGATTTCCAGCAGTGCAAATGTCTCATTGCATGAGAGGATTTTATAATCCAATTCATATAATTTGAGGCCTGGTGTTCATAGGAGCTGCAGGAGAATCCCAGTACTAATTTTTTAGAGTTGTGTTGCTGTTACTGGTAGTACCAATTCAAAGCTCTGTATAACATGCTCGTTTTTGTGGCTCATGCTCATCTGTTTCTACCCATATGTTTTCAGTGCTCTCCACTCACCTGATGCTAATCAAGGTGAAGGCATGAGAAGTGTCTAAAGGGATAAAAAATAATGCATGAAAAAATCAAGTCTGTTCTGTTAGCCCAGTGTGTGCTTTGTGGCTGCAGCGAGACTTCTTGGAGGTAACTTTCACTAAGTATTACTCAACCCTAGAAGCTGCTGAAATTTGTACAGTGGATGGACACACACACAGTCACAGATCCCCTTGGAATATAGAGTCATAGAACAGTTTGGGTTGGAAGGAACTTATAAGATCACCTAATTCCAACTCCCTGTTACAGACAGGGACACCTCCCTCTAGACCAGGTTGCTCACAGCCCCATCCAGCCTGGCCTTGAATACCTCCAGAGAAGGGGCATTCACCACCTCGCTGGGCAACCTGTTCCAGTGTCTCACCACCCTCACGGTAAAGAATTTCTTCCTAGTATCTAAACTAAATCTGCCCTTTTCTGGTTTAAAATCATTTCCCCCTGTCCTGTTGCTACATGAGTGCAATGTGGGCTGCCTCACACGGCTGATGTGCTGTAACTGCACCTCTGTACAGCTGCAGATCTTTGTGTAAGGGGCCTTTCACTGCGTGTGTGTGCTTCTCAGGCCTTTAAGGGATGTTACAACCCAGTGTGCTGTCTTCTTTAAATCACGGCCTCAAATTCTTAGAATTGTCAGATTTTGTTTTTCAAGCATCACGAGGTGGAAAAATCACACAGAGAAGTTAAGCTGACAGATTTAGCTATTGCCTGCTCATGCTGTAACATGCATAATCCCAATGCAGTGTTATAAGCAAGCCATAATACAGCTCATGGCAATACCTTAATAACTGATGTATTGAAGACCTGGGGTTTCACATGTGGCTCTAAGCCTTGCTGACATCCAGCTGGCACACAGATTAATTACAGTGCCAGTGAGGCACTGTGAGGAGTGAGGACTAGGATCACAAAGCAGCTCGGTGCCTGCCCTGCTTTGACTGTCACCACAGCAGCTGAGTGGGCTGAAGAGGTCCTCCCCTGGGTGTCCCCCTGGTCTCCTTTGGTCCTCTGCTGGGCTCAGGAGGCAGCTGAGAAAACGAAGCACCTGAGATGTCTGCTGGCCACTGCTCAGCATGAGGCCTGGCTCCTTGTCATGTTTTTTTGGTGGTGGCTTAGCCTCTCCTCAGGTGGTTTCCCAGTTCCCAGGACAAACAAGATTTTACATGTCCCATAGTCCAAGTTGCTTTCTGTATCTCTTGACACCTCATATCTCCTGATCCTGCCGCCTTCCCGGTTCAGCTGCCCTTCCCTGTGCCTGCACACATTGACTCGGTGATGTTTCCTGGGGAGCTGCTTTGCTTGGGTGCCTCAAAAGAGCTGTGAGTTTATCTGAAAAGTAGCATATTCCAGGAGCCTGTTCAAAAGCGAGATGTGTTACATTTATTTTCATTGCTGATCTGTGTGTGTACAAATTGCCATTCAGTTCTGCTCGCAAGCTTTGACACTATAGTAATAATTTCCCCAGAAAATGCAATTCAGCCAGATCTCATGATTATTACATAACAAATTTCGTGCATGACCTCCCAATCTTTCGATCCTGACATTCCTTTTGAGAAGGTTAAGCTCAAGTTCTCATCAAATTGAATTTAATTAGAAAGTGATTAAACTGACCTGATAGGTGGGTAGAGCTCATTCTGCATTCAACATTTATTACTGAATACCTGTCAGGGCAATTTTGGCATTTCTATGTGCATAAGTTTTGCCTGCCAAGAAGGCCCGTTGCTTCAAGTAAGTTGACGAGATGTGAAAGAAGAGGAAGTTTTATTTAGGTGAGTATTCCTGTCATTGAATGGCTTGCTGGACAAAGTCATGTCAATGGTAGTTTAGTATTTAATAACAGAACAAAAAAGAAATTAAAAAAAAAAAAACCAACACTGATGTTTGTTTTAAGAAATAGCCGTGGTCTCAGTCTGGGCTGAGAAGGGTATTTCCAAAGTTTGCTGTGTAGCCCATCTGTGGGCACCAGCAGATGTTAGGGCAGCAATCACTGCTCAGCATGTTGACTTCATGCTTGCTTTGAGGCAGGAAAAGTTGCTTCCTGGAACTGCATCCCATCGTCTGGCAAAACTGCTGCATGCTTCAGATCCTTAAGGTGGAATGTCAACTCTTTTCATGTAAAATTGTATTGTATATCATAGAAGCACTGAGTCATAGGGGTTAGAAGGGACCTCTGGTGCTCACCTACTCCAACCCAGAGAAGGAGAGTCCACAGCAGCTCTGGGTATGTGAGAGCAGCAGCTGTGATGTGTGAGTACATTGATAGCCAGGCGTGAGCTCTGACAGGCAGTGCTTGTGTGGTGCAGGCCCAGCTGGGCCTATTCCTCGCCTAACCGAAGTACCCACTGAATTATCTGTATTTCTCTTTCTTTGCTATGACTGATAGCATCATCTGGGGAGAACTCCCCAATTGCTGATGATTACGAAACCGTAGCCGATCAAACACAGCTGGATGCAGTGGAGGGTGTGAGCCTGGCCTCTGAGGAGCTGAAATTGGACGACCACCTGCCAGGGGAAGAGGCCACAGCCGTGACTCCGGCCTTGGAGCCAAAGATCGCCTCGGTCCCTGAGAGAGAGGAGCCGGAGGGCACTGAGCCGCCACGTGTAGCACCGGAGCGGAGCTCAGAGCTGCCAGCTGTGTGGAGAGAGGAAAGCAGCGGGACTGCACCGCCAGCACTGAGGGACAGTGGTGGGCCACCAGCACCACGATCGGCTGATGACAGTGGGCTGGTGGAAGGCACTGACAGCTTTGTGGTGGAAACCATCAAGAAAGTGCATATTGCTGAAGAGGACCACTTCATTGAGGGTAATATTCGTGCTTTTGTAAACTCAGGAGACCAAATTCTGTCTCCAGAGACTTGTCAGGGGGTCCTTTTGAGTTTAATGAGAGCCACTAGAGAACTTCTGGAGCCAGAATTTTGGCCACGGGGTCTGTCCAATGCAGAGCATGTAAGGATGTGGCTGGGGAAGCCTCAGGCTCACAAATGCAAGCTGTAATAAATCAGTCATTAGCTCTGCTATTTCGTTTCATACCCTTTGTGTTCTTGGTGAGAAGCCCCACCATACCCCTCGTTTAAAGGCTGTGTGTCTGTCTATCTCAGTCACAGTGCTTCCTATCTACCGAGACCAAAAGCTCTATTACTTAGTTACCTGTATTAATAATAAAGCAACTGTCTCTATTCACATGAAATTGGAGGGTTGATGTCTAGCTGTAGAGGAAGAAGCAGCTCTTAGATGTGCCCCTGGCATAAACCATTTTGAGGGCCTGGTGACCAAATAATCATAATGGAGACAGAGGTGGAGGACCCCGGGGCTGGGCTCCCCAAAGATCTGTTGGGATTGCCAGCTTGGAACATAGGCCAGAGGCTGCAGGCTGTGCTCTTTGGGTTGGTGCCCTGAGAACATATGTCTGGCTGTAGAAGGTGAACACTTCACAGGAGAAATCAGCTTTCTCCTAAATGGTACAAAACAGCCCAGTGAGGAATTAGATACTTCCTCAGGGAGCAGCTCTTCAGAGAATAAGCAGGTGAAGCACACCAGGAGTATTTCTCTGCAGAGAAATGTGTTATCTGTAGACTTCTCACTCCACATCCACCCTGAAGGAGTACAAAATGCAGATGGACTGATTTATGGGAAGCCCAATTGCATGTGCTGCTTCTTAACTGTGAAGCTTTGCTGTGCACGAGCTGGCTGCATAAATTTGACTGTATTCCAGTAGCTGAGCATGAGCGTTGACTTGTCCTCCACTGTGTCTCTTTGTAAAAGAGCTTTGAGGTTTTTTTCTACATAAAATGGAGATCTGTCATTTGGAATAAGGTCTCATTTTATGTAAGCAGTAGATGATGGGATGCCCACTTATATAAAATGGAGTCTCACCCAGCTGAAAGCTCCAATTTCATTAATGACCATTTCCAAGCTTCATGGTGCAGCATTGGAGGCAGAACAACACCATCTGAGCAATGCAGTAGGACCTCCTGAACACAGACAGACACCTGGAGCTGACTGTTTGCCTGGAGATCAGTCACAGGTCTTTGGCCACCAAGCAACTCGTGCTGCTTGCAGGGCAAGAAATTCAGTTTTGCTCTTATTTGATCAAACTAGAAATAATGTGGAATGACAGCATGTTAACTTGTATGTGTTTTCTTTCCATGAGGTGTGTGATGAAGAGACTTTCCATTTTTACACCCTGGTGTATAAGATACTTAGGACTTGTTTTGTTTCCCTTTATTCTTTAGTAGCCACGTGAGTAAAGATGAATTATGTAGCAGCTTCCCTGCTGCAGGCTGGATGGCACATTACTGTTTTGTTCCCATTGCAAATAAAACTGCACATACCTAAAATAAAACCCCAAACCTGGAAAAAGGTGGTTTGAGCAGTACTTATTATGTTTAATCAAGAGAGTGCCATGGGGAATTGGTGAAAGCATGGGGAGGATTTTATGGGCATGTGACTGGATGACGGAAAGCAATGGGGAGTGTTTTGGTTACTCCTTGCTGACCCATTGAGCTGTGTACCCCTGTGCAGTACCCCTGTGAGGGGTGCTGGAGGGCTGCCAAAGCAAAATCAGGAAGGAGCTGGGGCACGCAGTGCTTTTACAGAGGATCCTAATTTGATCTCCATCATTACCGTTCCCAGGTGAGACGGGAGAACAGGTGGAAAGTGAGCTGCTCAGTCAGATAGTAAGTGGAGGGCCTGAAACAAAAGAAGAGGAAACAGGAGAAGCTGTGGATGGCGCAGCAGCGACAGAGATAGGTATGTTGACAGAGGAGAGAAGGACTGCATGGGTTATTGCTCAGGAGAGTAACTGTGCTGTCCCTAGTGTGCACATCCCTGGATACAGCTGTTGCTTTTTGCAGTTTATGACAAGACAGTCATAAATATTTTTATTCACGTTAAGAAATACTGTTGCTTTTTGCTAAGTGTGCTTTTTTCATAAACTGTCTTTATGGAATACGTTCCAACCCAAACCATTCTGTGATGCTATGATAAGTTATCCTTGTCTGGGGAGAGTGCTGGACTGCAACGTGTAGTCTGTGAAAATAGAATCCAAAGTTAAAATCATAGCTGCTCATTACTGTTTGCCACACTCACTTTTACAGGTTAATGCCTTAACACTGCTGTGTGATTCTGTTCTATGATGAACATCTCACTTGTTTTTATTATCAGCTGAAATCAGCAGTGTAGCACTTGGATGAAGGCATGTTGCACAGCAAACGCAGTCATGTGGGGAGAAGCAGAAATGACAGGGCAAATGGATTGCCTTTGGAGAATTGTAACAGCAGCTAAGGGAATTATGTGAGGGGACAGGACTAGGACTATCCCTCCAGCAGACTTAGAAATTATATTCACTTTTCTGTTGTCACATTCTTTCTGCAAGTTATTTCTTCTTCCTCAGCACTCACTGAGGATTCTACACTCACTGGGAGTTCACTATGTAAGTCAGCAGTTGTGTGGGTGTTTATGTGCCCCAGAAGGCAGTCATTGCCCAGTGGCATTGCTGGGGGGGCAGCATGGGCCCTCCCTCCTAATGACTTGCACGTGTAACTGTGCTCCCAATGTCTCTGGGTTATTGAGTGCTCCTAGGGTTCAGCTTCAGCAGGGGGTCCTTACACCACTGCCTTTCATGGCTTCCCAGCATACCTCTCGTACCTGGGTAAGTCTTTGGTCTCCTAGCACTGCTAAGTGTTTGCTCTGGCCCTTGAACCGTAGAGCCCTCTGACAGGCCAGTGAGTCATCCATCATCCTTCCTGATGTGCTGGGAGGACACAGAGTTTGGTTTGATGGGAGGTAAATGGGAAGCACCAAACTTCTGTGTTCCAGCAGGGTGCATGTGTTGCTGGACAGGACTAGAAACACACATCTGAAAGGCTTTGCAAGGGTTTTGCAAGCCATCTTCTGGGGTCAGTATAAAAAGACAGGTTCTCAAAAAAACCCAACCCAGTGACATTCTAATGAAGACCAAGAGATTTTATTGTGTGATGGTCACAGCTTGATTGAAACACTTTCTGCATTTGCTTGCCTTGGCAATATTCTCATCAGCAGTATTTCTAGGGACACAGGAAGAGCAGCCCCACTTCTTTCTCTGTAGCACATCTCAGATAGGAGTGTGTGAGTGCAGACTGCTCAGCAAACAGCTGTGAGCATGAAAACAGCACTAAGAATGGGACAGTGACCATTTACATCTGGGATGCTGTTATGTAAGGAAGCAATTCTTCCATCTTGAAAGGATATTGAAGAACTAAAGGTTCTGGGCAGGGAAACAAGATTGCTGAAGGGAATAGAAACATTCATACGCTGTGAGAGATCAAAGCATTCCAAGCCTTTGCCTCTGAGAGGTTATGACTGAAAAGATATGAGCTGATTGCAGCACAAAATAAACAGTGCTTTAAAGGTAGTTGAGGTTCAGCTCTGAATGAAGGAACGCACTCTAAGGGTGTTGAGTGGCTCTCTGGATTTCACACAAATGAAGCCTAGAAGAAGAAGGCTGTGCGTGAATGGGGTGGGAGAAGAGGAAGCTCAGCCGGTAGCTGCATGTGGCTGCTTCATGTCCAGACAGAACATCCTTACAGATGTGGAGAAAAGCAGATGCCCCCTTGTGCTGTGATACTTCAGGGAACTTGCACCTTGAACTCCTGTAGGATATTTTGAATACAAGCTTTACCCTAAATTAATTGCTATTTTTTTTTTCCATGTGTTTCAGAGACAACTAGTAACAAAGACTAGAAGCTACATCTGTATGAACATCCTCTTCTTGGACCAGCCCTTCTGTCCACGTGAAAGTTTTTTAATTTTGCAGCATTGGAAAAATAGAGCTTTTATAGATGGAGCCAGAATAAGAAGCATCAAAGGAGGTTTTATATGTTTTTGAAGTCAAGATGCCAAGACTTCAAGTGTTTGAAATACCTGACCTGGTACCTCTCTGCCACAGAGTGCCTTCTGTACATCGCCAGCACAGCAGGATGATTCTGACAGATGTATAACCATCCAGTTTTCAATTAGGAGTCTTTCCAGGTTCTAACTTCAAACCTCTGAAACCTGCAGCATTACATAGGTTAAAGAATATAGAGTAGACTGGTTTTAGTTTTATTTTAATGGTAGCACAAGCAGAAAGTCAGAAAGGGAAGTCCTGCTTTTGAGAACTCCTGCACATGCGGGTAATCCCTCTGAGTGCCTGCACAACCACATTATGGAGCTGCTGCAGTGTGCTGCTCTCAGAAGACTGGAACCCAAACTGCCCATTTGCTGTGTGTAACTAAATGCAAATGTTAGTTTTTCAGGCAGTGAAAGATACACAGGTTGCAACGTACAGTAACCAAGTAGGCGTCTTCTGCTAACTCCATTTTTAAACATATTTATTTATTGAAAGGAGGAAAAAAAAGGCATTTTTAACCAGGAAGAGAATGTTTTAGCCTTCTAAAGTCTGGCATACTTAAAATGCAAATTCACAGTTGTTAGCACGCATGGTGATTAATAGGGCATCTTTAGCGATGTAGCTCCTCAAATACACTCATGGCTTCTAAAATAGATACCTAACCAGTGACTTTTATAAGTCTGTTCCCATAGGAGAGGTCATTGTTCCATCCCCCATTTCTCCAGGAGAAACATGCATTCAGAAATGGTGTTATGTTCCAGAATGCTAAGGAAGTATTTCAGAGCTGAAGCTGAATGACAAAACCTTCAAACAAAATTTATGTTGAAAAGAGGCCCCAAATATAATCAGTGTTATGGATCTGATAGAGTAGAACTTTCATCTGATGGTGAGTGATGCAAAGGGACTCTGTATTTTTATTGGAGACTGTCTGGGAGACCCTGTGGCATAAGGAAGTAGAACATGGAGGAAAGGTTAAGTATCTCAGAAGGGCAAATGCTGCTATTTTTATTAGCTTTACTGTACAAAAGGTCTTCAACAAATTTTCTTGTCAGCAGCAAATTATCAAAATCCCCTCTAAGCTAAGTTTTGTGCTGCATATGCATGCCTGACTTCAGCAGACTTTGGCCTGTATTAAATATTTTAATTGATATCCCTGGCCTATCAGCTTGCTCTACTAGCTGATATTCCTTAGCCGTATTGCTGCACTTAAGGTTTGCTGTCTGTCAGCAGTCTTTTCAGACTGGGCTGGGTTCCTCCTCTATGCTGGGGATTTGGTTTGACTACCAGCACCTGAGCTGGCACCACACAAATGCAGGGAGTCTGCTGTACTGACTGCTTGCAAGTTACGTGTTAGATCCAGAGATGCTGCTTGACTGGATATATTGAAAGAAGCAGAACTGATGGCATTTCCATAACAGAGACCAGTAGTATTAACAGCACCAGCAGAGACAGTGCTTGGAAATAAAATAGGAAGATACAAGAGAGTCAAGATAACCTGTTCACCTCATAATCACTCTCACTGCCACCATCATTACAAGAAAGACAGGTGACAATATACACTCTTACCTCCTTATTCAGCTTTTTCAATCATTGGAAGCAATGCTAATTGGAAACAAGAGGAAGGTTACCCGATCAGTGACTCAGCAGGTCAGCCCTTGTCTGTCATCTTCAGTCTTTACATATCTTGTAATTACAATATATGAAAGCTATGTTACTTTTCCCTTCTCAAAAAGTGACATATGCTTGACACTGTGTTAAACATGAAATGTTAACTGTATTAATTACAAAATCAGAACTCAGATGCTAGACTTATGCTGAACATCCCTCCATTGAGAAATAAGACAATCACTATCCCACTGAGGCCCAATATTTATGGTCTCTGAGCTACTGAAATGTGTACCATGCATAAAGGGCCAAAATACATACAGTTATTTGCTTCTGCAAAGCTCTGGACATCACAGAGATTGCCAAGGGCAGAAATTGGTCTGTCAGTCAAACAGCTTTTTCAGCTTAAATGCTGAGAAGAGGATATGCTCTGGTACCTGTTTACAAGATATACCTACAGAGCTAGTACAATGTACCTCAGCAATTTATTTTAAACAGACCAAAATAAAAGTGTATTTTCATAAATGTGTCTCAAAAGCTAGACAATCTTAAATTTCAAACTTCATCCAAGCTAGCACTTACCATTCCGTGCTACAGTAAGGGTTGAATAGAATTATAGAATGGCCTGGGTTCAAAAGGACCACAATGATCACCTAGTTTCAATCCCCTGCTATGTGCAGGGTCGCCAACCACCAGACCAGGCTGCTCAGAGCCACATCCAGCCTGGCCTTGAATGCCTCCAGGGATGGGGCATCCACAACCTCCTTGGGCAACCTGTTCCAGTGTGTCACCACCTTCTGTCTGAAAAACTTCCTCCTAATATCTAACCTAAACCTCCCCTGTGTCAGTTTAAAACCATTCTCCCTTGTCCTATCACTATCCACCTTTCATTCTCCCTCCTGTTTAGGAGGAATAGGACCCTTGATTGAATAAATCTCCACTCTAACTAGAAAGGTAGACATTTGTTTCAATTCCTGAAAACCATAGCCTTCAAGAAGTTCAATTTGGACCCTGCTGGATCTATGCAGATATACACGCTAGTGTTAGGATCCCAGAAGATACTCAGCATACTCAGCAATCTGGCTCAGAAAGGCTGGCTCTTCTACTCAACGCATAACTTCTTTCAGATGAATACTGCATCAAGAGCAAGGTGCTTGTAGCAGAAGATTAGGCAGGTTAAGTTTTGTTATATGTTTTAACAGAGAACAAAGTTTTATTAAAATTGTCTACCAAGCTTTATTTTTGTGTTGTTTAATCTGTAGGAAACATAATCATTAGGAGAAAAAAAGCTAAAAGAAAACCCTGGGAGAACATATAAATTTAGGAACTGCTTTGCTTTCGCAGAACTAGAAGACCTCATTTTGTTTCATGCTAGCAGCTCAATCTAGCAAAAAAAAAAAAGCTCTGCTTACCTTAATTCCATTTAAAACTGGATTTACTAAGTATTTTATACTTTGCTGAACCAAGACCAAGGAGGTACTCTCACACTTGTGTTTCATATTGGATAATTATATGGTTCTCCTTTTTGAAATAAAAAACAGAATCAAGAAATATAACAACCACTTAAAAAAAAAAATAAAGTTTTAAACATTTGTGGAAGGCTGATTGTTTATGTTAACAACTGCTATGTTCTAGCTGTAAATAAAGCTTCTTTCAGTTATTCAATAATTTATGTACCTGAAGAATACATATTTAGGCCTGAGACATTCAGGGAACCACGCATCTGGACTCCAGCCAGAAGCCAGATAATATTAGAGCTAAAAGTGGATTTTAAATCCTTGCTACAGAATGGCACCTACTTATTGACAGTAAATATTTTTAACGATGTATCAGTTATATTTCAGACTCAGTCTGAACCTTTCTGGGGAGAGCAGTGATGTATTCACATTCTTTGTGCCAATGAAGGCACCCAAAGGAGTTCTATATTGCTGTCTACGTTGTACTGAGAGACATGGTTTAGTGGGGGAATACCGGTGATATGTGGACGGTTGGACTGGATGATCTTAGAGATCTCTTCCAACCTTGGTGATTCATTAAGAACAAATGGACAAGTCACCAGCAGGAAGGAAAAAAAAAAAAAGGAAAATAAAAATCAAAACTGCCATCTAGTGTTAGGTTTAAGATCAGCAAAGCAGCAGTACAGAAGAATTAAGGCAGGCATCTTCACTGAAAGGTATCGTGAGGCATAACTGTTAGTATTTATTATACAAAGACAAATTTAGCTCACATTCAACATTACAGAGATCTGCTGAAGGTGAACTATAATTCTGCTACAAAAACAGTTAACTGTGTTCCAACACAGCAACTATATGTGAGCAAAGCTGTAACAGAGAAACATACAAAAATATAAATTAGGAATCTGCTTAAATAATCTAATTCCACTTCATTGTGCTATTCTGACAGAACAAAGCAACTTTTGCTCTAAGTTATATTCACAATATTACCAATTCCTAACAAGTCTGATAGTGTTTCGGTGGGATCACTTCTTAAATCAAAGCTGTAGAAAATAAATGATGTTAGTAGTATAGCCAGAGAGAGAGAACAAGAAGCCAAGACTTATAGCATTCACATGTTGCATTTATGTGTTTAAACATGTTTATGTTTATGTGTTAGTTTGTTTAGCAGAGTCAGGTACTTTTCAAAGGTCGCTGCTTCAAAGTTTAAAAAGCAAACAGAATTTGTTCATTTACCCTTAAAAAAAAAAAACAAACCAAACAAGTCCATCAATATTGTGTTAGGTAAGCAGTTGTAGGGGGAAGACAGGGAATCAACTCTAGCATGAGTCAGCCAGTTTTCAAAGTAGTTCTTTAAAAACGTTAAGTAAAAACATCCATTTCTGCTTGCTTAGCTAGAAGATGAATGCAGAGGAATGGGATAGCTTACTAATGCCAGCCTGTCTTCTCAGTACTGCCTAAACACACCAAGCAGGTTCATTCTCTCTCTCAATGGCAGGGAGAAATGCCAAGAACCATACTGCCATGGTAGCTGAAAGCTTTCTCTCTTGAAAGCTCTCTCTTCACCCATAGCTACTGGGCAAGAGAAAATGAACCTACTCCTTTGGTTTGAATCATTTCTTAAAGAAAAAGCAAGATAGGGATGTTGGTTTTTGGTTTTTTTTTCCCTAATGGAACACCAAAGTATAATCAGGAAAAGAAAAGTTTGCTCCCAGAAGAGACAAGCACATTATTAAACATGCAATTATTATTTATTCTCATTGAACAGGCTGTTCCCTCTCATACAATTAGAATGTCTTCTTTCCCCCCCAAATCACAGTATAGTCAAAGTTGAATGGCTATGAAAAAGACTATGAAAAATGTTGCAGGTAGAGATTCATTTGAAGCTGATTTGTAACTATGAAGATGTGATTTTGGAGAAGCATCACTTCCTTCTTTCTGAAATGAATATCCACCCTGATTAGCAATTGCTTCAGCGTGAAAAATGTAATTGAGTCTCAGCACTAAACCATTCTGCAAAGAAAGCATTTAAGGCAGTTTAGAAATGAATACAAATGAATTTCCCAAAACACAGAAATGAAAATGTATGCTAACCAAGAAAAGTGTTCTACTGTTTTCTGACATTTTTTTCCAATATTTAAAATTATTACTAAAAAACTACTATTACAATCAATGATTTTTGTATGTTCTGATCACCCACAACGTAACTATCATACAAGCACCTAAAATGTGTACTTTAATACCCAAATACCATCACAAAATAAGGCTCCTGTTCTACAATCAAACCCAACAGATTTTAGCAGCATTCATAGGTTTCAATTGAGAAGAAAGCACCTTTCCAGGTGAGCTTAGTGTAGGACATTCAGTCTTCACTTATAGAGAGGCTGGAACATTCTGGATGGGCCCTTGAATGGCAATAGCTTCAATCTCAATCCGGGCACCCTGTGAGAAAGCAATGAAAAAAAAACGATTAAGAACTTTAAATACCTATTTTATGAAGCTATTGGGTATATAACATGACCTGATATGAATAAAAGAATGACATCTGGAAATTATATATTCCTGGCAGTTGCATTACTAATTTAGCAATGTTACAAATTCACTTTGTTCTTCCTGAAGTATTGGAAACCCTTATTTCTAGGATTGTAGCTGTCTTTCACTATACTGCTAGGTTTTCCCATGTTTTCAGAACTCTTACATGCAGGAATAAGACTGACATACTTAAAAGCAAAAATTAAATACTTCAAGAATATTCAATAAAATAATCACAATCAAAGCGATTACAGAATAAGAAATCTGTTATAATGTTTCAGAAGCAAAGGCTTTCAGAATTCATTTTTCTAAGTTACACTTACTTTTGGCAAAGCAGCAACCTGAAAGGATACTCTGGCTGGGCAGTTTGATTTGAAAACTGCAATTGAAACAAAAACATCCACTAATCATTTAAGTCTGCTTGATAAACAACGGAGTTCAAAATCATATGCATAAAATGCAGTCAAGGTTCAAGTCCAAGAATATGAGACAAATAACATTCAAACCACACACTCTCTTCTCCAACTCCTGCCTCCCATTTGTTTCCCCCTAGGGTTTTTTTTTTTTAATTAGTGAAAGTTAACAGTGACTTCAGAAATGGTACATTCAGGCTCCTGCAGGGACAAGGCAGCTTGATAACTCACATCAAAGGACAGCAACAATTGCCTTCTTTAAAAACAGGTAGGAGGGCTCTTTGGCGACAAGTAACTAAGTATCCAGCCAGTCTGTTTTCACTTCACTTAACATACTCAATTCCATTTTGATACACAGAAGATTGCTCATCTAAAAAGGCTTCATTCAACATAAGATACAGCTAAATAACTAAAACCCAAATCTATATAAATAAGGAACTTATGTGCATAGACTCCCAAATTCTTCTGCACAATACAGCTCGCTAATCACCAACTTGAGTTTACATGCAATTTGGTTAGCCACGCGTTGTTATTTAATTTCCAAGTGCAGCAGGGCAGCTCATCCTTACACAAAAAACTAAGCTTTGTCAAAGATACAAACAGATTTTAAAGAAATGAAGATTCACAGTCTGAAATTAAGCATCTTAAGGCTGACTACAGCAGAATGGTGTTGGAGACAACATAGCATCCTTCAAGGCTAGAAGGTGTAGAAGCTCCAACTGCATATAAAAAAGTTAGTGAAATGGTAGGACAAATCCACACCTAATCAGCCTGTATTTGTTATGCTGCTTGCACATAGATGTTCTGTTCTCATGTTGTATTTCTACTGAAGTCTCAAAGAAACTGGGACTACATTAGCTGAGTCATTGAAACACTCCACTTATAATGAATATCATCAATTCTGCAAGCTGTACTGGTAAAAAAGCAGCAAGTCTACTTACATTGACCGTAAATATCATTCATATCATTGAAGTCCTTCATGTCTGCCATCAAAACCGTGGTCTTCACAACTGGAAATTAAGTGCAGTTATTTTGTACCTCTTTTATACAAAAGTTTAAAATCTTTAATGCAGTTCTTGCTTTCATTCCAAACATCTCAAGTATTTGAAACATTTTGAAAAGTTTTGCAAACAGATATTGACCATTAGAGCTGCCAACTGCAGAACCACCAAGAAAAACTGAATATCTAATAGATAAAATTATTCTTGACCTGTTTTGAGAACAGCTCTTCCATTTTAGATTTCATTACAAGCCCAATTCTTTTAAAAGGGACCAAGGTGAAGAAGATTGATTAAAACAAGCTTTAGCGTGTCAACTGTTGGCAAAAAAAAAGTATATCATATAATAACTGCTGCCAAAATAGTCCATAAAACATCTGAGGATATGGTCTATGCAAGAATTTTTTATTTTATTTTTTTAAACTCATGATTGCCCAAGCCAATACCACTTCTAAATTTGGCTCCATTATTAGAATCAGCCACAAAAGAAAAAAAGATATTGGACATGCCTGTAACATGAATGCCACGGACATAGACTTGTTTTTATGTGGAGTAAAGGATGCTTAAAATGCCTGTGGTCAGTTGTAGCTTGACCTATCTGTAAGCTGCTTCAGTTTGAAGTGTTAGTACCATGGAGAGAAGCTTCAGGTGAGAAGCAGCATCCTGCTGATACCCATCACACAAAGACTTGCACATCCATTCTTTTCCTCTAGCTATTGGTAAAAATAAACAGCTTATTTATTTAAAAAAAAAATCCAAGTGAAAAATAATCACTTGTCCGCTACCTTCATATCAGCACTTACCATTGCTAAAATCACAGCCTGCAGCTTTCAGGATTTCCCCCAAATTTTTAAACGCCTGTTGAGAAAAGAGACAGAAGTCTGTATGTATCACCTAGGTTGTATATGGGCAAGTATATAAACATGAGTTGTAACCTAGCTACAATTACATTGTAGCTCACCCAGCAGACCTTCAACAGTCAGAGCAAAACCAAACATAGATTAAGAAGTGTATTAGTAAAAGATAACTTCTAATAACCTCCTAATACTAAACCATTTACTTATTAGATCAAAAACAATACAGCTTCACCTCATCCTACTACCTCACACAGATTCTGCTGGTGGAACAAGTCTTGCACAGACTCAATGACTCAAAATATCAATTCCTTCTTGTATGATACACAGATGTTTCCCTGACCTCCAGATTGTTTGGATGAAAAATGACAGTAAATGACTTTTTTCTTGTTTTTACCTCACCTTGGAGGACGTGCGATATGCTCTAAGTCTCCTCAATTTCTCACAAGTCTACATTTAACATAGCAGAAAAGATTACTGCTAGAGCACATCTTACCTGCTTAGTTTCTTCCTTTACACCTCCAGAGACAAGCTGCCCACTGGAAGGTTCTATACCTATCTGTCCTGCAATGTACATGGTCCGGTCTACAAGCACTGCTTGGCTGAAAAGAAAAATGACATTTCAGATTAAAAGTTTCCTCAAACCACGTAACTATCCAAAGTACTCTCTTGGCTGCAGAAAATATGAAATGCACTTTGAATATCTATTTTTCTGAAATATTATAGCATAAATTAAATTGAAAAAGATCTTCAATATCAAGTCCAAACATCAACCTGACTGACCGAGTCCCAAGTAAACACTAAACCTCAGTGCTTACACATGGGCCATGCATTCAATCCATACATATGTGATTCAGCTGGGATTTGCACAATTATAAAAGCACACAACTACACGAGCATAGCTCTGTTTTTGAGATAATAAGTACTGATTCCCCAAAAGGTGCAAGACCTGAGTGCAGCAATACAACAATAAACACAGCTACACACTTTTCATGCTGCAGACTGCACAGGAGGGAGACAGAGCAACTTTGCATTTACCCAAATAAATATGCCATCCCAGTTTAAGAGGTGGTTCTTTGCCTACCTTAGATCTCAGCTGCAGAGCAATAATATAGAAGAAAGAAAAATCAAGAGGGCTGATTACTACAATCGGCATTTTATTCTCATACAGACACCATAAATGAGTTACAGCTAAAATACGAAGCCTCACAAACATTCTCTGGCAATATTTCTCCAGTGGCATGAATGTGGCCAGTTAGCACAATTCCATTCCCAGAACAGTGCCTCTCTTCTCACCAGCTAACCTGGATGACCTGGTGGCTGGGTTACTTCAGCAGATGAAGAATCCAAGTTATTTTTTTTTTTTTATATGTACATCAACTTTGCTTTTGCTGAAGTGAAGTTAGAGATGTCAATAATTGTTAAGTACTACAAACAGATTAAAAGATTAAAACAAAGACTTTAACCACCTAGTAAACATTATGCAAGAGACATAACATCCATCTCATCAGATGGTAGAAGTATTTTGCAAAGGAATTAGAGAAAGGCTCTTTTCAAAGTGTTTGTGGTGTGTCAACATGAACTTTCTTATCTTTTGCCATCCGATAAGAAAATTCATTCCTCTAACAGTTGAACAAGCCTCTGAAATTGCACAAACTGGAGTTAAGCTCCTCCCTGAAGTATTTAAATTAGAACCTTAGCTGCACTTCAGCATCAATGTAAAAAGAAAGCCACTCTTTAATGAATGCTTTATTAAATCTCTTAATTGTTCAGTCTCATTGACAGGAAACATGTATATGAACAAAATATATTCTTCAATTTTATTTTCTATCATGTCATACTTTGAGGCAGAAGCCATCAGATTACAAGTCATGTTTCTATTGAATGTGTAGGGAGCCTTGCAACAAGTTGTTAGCACTCTGAGCTCTCTGGAAAAATGAGACTGTCTTATACTGCTTATCATAAAGCAAATGACAACATACATGCTTATCCTAATGGAGCTTTGGAAAATAACAAATCATGAGTAACTGTGAGGAGGGCAGAGGGAGAAGCACAATGAAGCCTTCCAGTGCTAGATCAGCATTTTCAGCAATCTTAAGCCTTCTTCTCTGTTCCTCAACTTCCTTCTCCTTGTACGGTTACCATGGAATTCCCCATTCATTGTCACTGTCAACAACTCACTAACTAAAGAATGTACTCCCACTGCAGTCAAAAGCATGAGCCAAGTTCACAGAGACTCCAAGCACAAAAACTGGGATCAAACTTTAACTGCAGATGTATCCTACAATGAGGGTCAATTGTGCATCTCTGCTGGAATCATAAGCAGTTAAGTGCACGTCACACATTGTTCACATTTCAGTACACTTGAGTGCAAAGCTATATGGATGTCATGACCTCGGCAAAAACAACAGCATCCCCTTCAGACAGATGGCATCAAGAAACACACTCTTCAGTGATGATAAGGGGGAAAAGTTAATCAGACTTTCTTTACACAAAAAGTTGTTAACAGAAGTACAACATCTGTCACGTGTTTTTAAAAGCTGCATGCACAGATGCATACACACACATATAAATTTACTGGAAATTGAAGGAGTTTAGTAAAGAAAGTGCAAAATAGGGTACAAATAGCACACAGAAGGGCTGTAGCAAAACCAGGAACGCAGCACTTCTATCCTAATTTTCCCATCCTTATTAAGCCCTCATTGAGCCTCCTGCTCAGAACTGAGATGTAGCACTTATTTCTTACGCAATTTTTTTGTTCAGTGGACTTTGAAAAGCATACTGGAATGCAATCACTAAGCTTACCACTAACTTAATTGATGTTAACCCTGCGAGTTCAACAACAGGCTGCACAATAAGCAGCATTTCATCAAGAACTCCCAGTCAGCACAGGACACGGGAGTTAATCTATAGCAGAAGGCTACGTTAAAGGCTAAGCCAGTTGGTGCATGCGTGTGGCTGAAGAACCCTCACTTTCCACATCTCAGATGTCCTCCTACCCACAGGCAATACCGAGCCCTGGCTGCAACCCACCAGCAGTCTGCTGTTGGCAGAAGGTGCCCTTACAGTGATGGGATTTTCTCTGCTCCTACACCGCGCTGGAGTTATAAAGTGAGAGAAACATAAAGAACAGCAGGTTTGAAGCTCAGAAAGTTTCACTTCAAAGCGATGGGGACAAAAACGCTTTTGTAAGGCTCTGAAGTGCCACAGGTGGAAAAGTCAAAACTGAGGAGGCTGCATTTATAACTGGAAAACGAAGCCTAAGCCCAATACTAAGAGCCTCTAGGAAGCACTCTGGTGCCCACCCCTCAGCGCTTACACAGAAGCCTACCGCGCTTCTCACAGAGACGGCAGCACAAAACTCCTCCGTTACCGCGCACGACGGACACCCCACCGCACCACCAATCGGGACGGACCAGTAAACCTCCAACAAACCTCTCCCGCCCGAGCCTTACCTGTAAGCACCCAGCGGCGCAGGAGCCTTAGCAGTGCTGATGATTTTCCTTACCACAGAAGCCATGACGGCAACCACTCTCCCGCTCCACCTCCCCACCCCTCCCGCCCGCCTTGACACCACTCCCTTCCCGCCCGCCTCGGGCGTTGCGCGCGCAGCCTGCCGCGGTGCATTCTGGGCAACGTAGTCTCGCTGGGTGCGGCTGCGTGGTGCGCATGCGCCGCTGGGGTTCGGGAGGCCGCGTGTAGCGCGAGGTGGGGGGGCCGCGCATTGGGTTCGTCTGAGCGCCGCATCCCAGCCGAGATGTCCGCGGCGAGGGAGAAGAAGCGGGCCAGGAAGATGAGGAACCAGCCGGCCAGCGTCACGCTCCCTGCCGAGCCCGGGTCCTTTCCCGGCGGCGGCAGCAGGGCCTGCCCGGCCCCAGGTACGGCCTCTCCTCCGGGACGTGGAGCCGTTGGCCGCAGCTCTCTGGGCGCGACCCAGGAGTTCAGCCTTACAGGTCGGGGGCCCTGCCTGTGGCGGGAGGGTTGGAGATCCACGAGGTCCTGTCCAACCCAGGCCGTTCTGTGATTCTGTGGTTAGGTTTTTATTGCTTCATTTTGATACTGATTTAGCTGCCTGTACCGGGAAATACGTAATGTAACTGCACCGACGTACACGTGCCGTGCTTACTTTATTTGTTACTGCAACAGAAATGCGTGTGACTTTACTGAAGACAGAAGGACAAAAAATAGCTGAATGTATTGGGGGAAAAAATAAGAGAAAGAGGGGAAAGTTTTGCTCTGACGAGACAACAGAAAGAGTCATTGCTGATGGCAGTCACGTAGGCTGATTTTGGTCACAGAATCATCATAGAATGGCCTGGGTTGAAAAGGTCCACAATGATCATCTAGTTTCAACCCCCTGCTATGTGCAGGGTTGCCAACCAGCAGACCAGGCTGCCCTGAGCCACATCCAGCCTGGCCTTGAATGCCTGCAGGGATGGGGCATCCACAGCCTCCTTGGGCAACCTGTTCCAGTGTGTCACCACCCTCTGTGTGAAAAATGTTCTCCTAATATCTAACCCCTGTCTAACCCATCCCCTGTCTCAGTTTAAAACCATTCCCCCTTATCCTATCACTATCCAGCCTTGTAAATAGCCATAATAGCCATTGTCCCTTCTGTTTATATGCTTTATAATATGTTTATATTGATCAGGTCTTTCCCTTTGGGTTAATGAAGTAAAGGAGGTATGGATTGGGTACCATTTTCAAAATGTGCAAAAGCACGTTAATCTGCTGCTGGCTTGCTGCAGCTTTTTTTTTTTTTTTAATGAAAAATAACTTTTTTTTTTTCAGTTATGTGTTAAATAGCCAGCAGAATGTGCAATGAAATCTTAATAAAATTATGTTTACAATCCAGTACCCAGCTGACTGTATTTCTGCTGTGTTTGTTTCTGAACCCTTCTGGAGATGTTCGTTCTGAGCAGCAGTATCAACAGCAGAAATTTTTGCATCAGTCACCTGGGCCTCCGTACAGGAAAGACCAACATAGAGGAGACTCGAGAGGCAGAGGAAGGGGTGGATGGCAAGGAGAGCATCAGAGTTCTTCTGAGGAAATGCCTAGATACATAACAGGTTTGTATGTATAATAAAAGGTCGTAGTTTCCAGGGCAACTTGCTAGAAATTGCTTGTTGTCTGTCTTAGATTTTGTGCAATAGCAAAAATCAGAACGGATGTTTTGGTCAACATGTGTGTTGTCTTCTGTTTTTCCTGATTTTCTCCAAAATAAAGGCAAGTTTGTGCACTAAAATGAATTACCAGCTGTTGTTCAGTGAATCCTTTCAGACTTCTGAGTTGAAAAATTGCACTCCTTATAACGAGGGGTATGCATTTGGGTTTTGGTTTACCAGTAAAATGAATACTGACAGCCATCTGTTTTTAATGTAGTCGGTGGAACTGTTTATGCTCATGTTGTGAGTTAAAGGAACTTCTAACAGAATGTTTGTTTAGGAAAGCAAAGAGACAAATTAGTTTTTCAAATTATGGTAGTGCTATGATAATGAATACACTTCCATAAGTATTAAACAAAATCAACCTCTGACTTCTTTATTTGATCATTTGAAAACTGTATATAGTGTGATCATTGCTTCCTGTTTTTTCCATGATTAAGTTTTTCCATCTGTCTGAATAATACATGAAAACATTGCTGCCATAGTAAAGAATTACTTTGTGCAAGTAGAACTTGTTGGTTATACCTCAGCTTTCAGTATTTGAAGTAACATTGGTAAGCTTTACGATATCTGAAGAATAGAAATTACAGCCATAATAGACAGTAGAGGATATCTTTGTTTTATCTCAAGAAGTCATTAGACCGGTGTACTAGAGATACTCTGCTGGAGTTCATTGATTTATATACATAGTCCCTTCTTTGTTTTTAATCTTTGCCATTTGCCATGCTCTGATGGAGTTCTTTTCATTCCAGTGTCTACCTTTGCTCAAGCTCGTGCTGCTGAGATCAAAGCCATGCTGAAAGCAGTTGCACAGAAGTCTTCCAACTCTCTAGTCTTCCAGACTCTGCCCAGGCACATGCGAAGGCGAGCCATGAGTCACAATATTAAGCGCCTACCCAGGCGGCTGCAAGAGGTTGCCAGAAAAGAGGTATAAGTGCATTTTATAGTATCTGATGATCTATATAGTGGACGTAGCTATTGTGCAGCGCTCAGCTGTACATTTATTACGGTTCAGAGCTGAGCTTGTCTGCAAAGCTTCCCTATATACAGAGGCTCACAAACTTGGGCTGATGTTTGGATGCAAAACTTACACTGTAGTAGATCTCAGAGTAGTTGTCAATAATCTCTTGGCTTCGTGATTATTGTATGTCTTGAAAAGTTACTGGAGTAATGATGATAAAACCGCCTACTTCAGGAGCATTTGTTTGGCTAGTATATCAAGGTTTCAGGTGATGTAGGAGTCCTCAGTAACACCTGCCTATCTTGCAGCTCACCATTGCTTTGAGCTGTGACTTTGCAGGACTCAAGCCAGCACAACTTGTTCATAACTGGCACAGTGTAGATCAGGCAGGGTAAGCACAGTGGAGTAGCTGACAGGTTGCATGTAGCTTAAGAGCATTCCTGGTTGGTCGTGGTTTGGAGTAGCATCTTATCATTTAGCCAGAATGCTTCTATGTATTTACTTATTCCTTATATGCTATGGCATTTCTATGTTATGTGTTAAAAAAAAAAAATGGTTGAGTGAGTTTCCTTTACTGGAGATCATCTGATGTTTGACATTGATCGCTTTCTCTGGACACTTCTTAAAGTGATCAGATGAATTTGTTTGGTAAGTTTTCTGTTTATTTAAGGTTGATTCATTGACATATTTCTTGCATTCTTTTTCCCTCTTGCTTTACCTTTTTTGAGTTCTCTGAGAACTTACCCCATCTTCCTCAAGTTCCTGAAGATTCGTGATACAGAAATAGCATCAAGTACTTCTGCATGTGTTCCTAAGGGTGTGGTTTATTGGATCTTTATAACCTGCATCTCTGCTTTTATTGCTCCAGTTGGCATTCTTTTTGATTTGTTAGTCATGATGTTACATAGTGTCTTCTTTAGGAGGAAGGCAGCATGGGCTGTTTTGCATAGTTTACACTCTGTCCTTGTTAAATAATTTAGATTTCTTTCATGTTTGTATTTGATCCATTTGTGTTCTGCTTTTTTAACTCCTTTCCCATGGTAGTATTTCTTACTTCTGTGTATGTACTCACGCTGATATGTCCTTGCTTTAACTTTTGCATGGTTATTGGATTTTTGGGGTGCTATAACTGTCCTTGCTGCAGCTGTTTTTCTTCAATCACATTCTCTCTGCTTGGTTCTCTTTTTGAAGTTTGTGTTCTTATGTAGGATGTTTTGTTTCATGCTTTCTTAGAGGTTCTGTGTCTCCTTTTTATAGGTTCTGCCCATTAGTTTTCGGTGTTTGAAATGTGTTTCTTCAAAGTTGACTGTTCTGGTTCTATTGTGCTTTTTTCCTTTTCTTAGATCCTTGAACATGACCACATTGATCCAAAAATTTACCATGACGATCTCTTACTTCTTCACAAATTTGAAGACAAATACTTTTTTTTTTGTCCACATTACCACATCCCTTTTTTCTCCGATTGCCTTTCTTCACACTTATGTACCATTTACCTAGTGGCTTATATTGCCTACTCTATAGTGGAATGATTAATTCTGATTGTGACTTGGAACTTTTAAAATTATTATGTGCACATCTGTCTTTACATCATGGTTTGTTTCCATGTTTACTCTGCTCACAGCAGTCATCTAGCATTCTCATCCTTGTAACCAGTTCTAATTCTAGTTCTAACTTCTAGTTCTAATTCTTCTAATTCTTCTATTCTAATACTTATAACCAGCGATCTACTGTCAACCATTTCTTTGTGAGCTCCTGAAGTACATCCTAAAAAGTAGGGTTTTTTCTGCCACTTCTCAAAAAGGCAAGTCAAACCTTGAGAGACAAGCCTTCCTCTTCAGCCATTCACCCTTAGTAATTCTATTCTTGATTAGGTCTTTATCAGGGAGTTTGTCTGACATCACCATATTGGCTTTTACAGACTATAAAGACTGTAAGTATCCTTAGGTCCTATCTGCCAGTCTTAGAGTCCACACTGCTTCTGTATGAGCTCACATCTTCAGGTTCTCCTGATGCCATGTTTCTTGGTTCATATGAATATGCTGATGTTGAACAAAAGCTTTACATAGGAAAGCAGCAGTTCTTACAGTTCACTGGTACATTTCTGAATGTCTGGGAACTCTGGTTTATGGGTTCAAGTTAGGGTTAACTTAATGGGCTGCCTGGGGAGGTGGTGGAGTCACTGACCCTGGAGGTGTTCAAGGAACGTTTGGATTTTGTGTTGAGGGATATGGTTTAGTGAGAACTATTGGTGATAGGTGGATGGCTGGACTGGATGATCTTGAAGGTCTTTTCCAACCTTGGTGATTCTGTGATTCTGCAATTAGTGGGGTTGTGTGGATGGGACTTGCATATACTCTTTCCATCTGTTTATTATCCTCAATCTAGATTGTAAACTTGTGGAGAACTAACATCAAAATAAAGCATAAATTATGCTAGTACTTCCCGTA